TGTTATACGATCCTGGAAATATTAAGGGCGTCTGTGCAGAGATATTTGAAGAAATGTACTATCAGGACATTTCATGGTTGTCTAGAAGGTGCATTATATAAGATATGAAGTCAAGTCAGAATATGTACTACTCGGGACATCCGATGGATGTCCCTAAAGGAACGTTTAAAATCATATCCCATCAGGGACATTCCAAGGACGTCCTTGCATAGACATTCTACAATATGTACCACGTGGGACGTCTAAGGGATGCTATTTCTAGGACATTTGAAATGATGTACCAGCTGGGACATTCGGTGGACGTCCTCACTCGGACATTGCATGAGATGTACGGGATGGGACGTCCCAAGGACACTTATTTTGGGTCCAGGACATTCGGACTCGAATTGTACCAAATTGGGACGTCCCTAGGACGTTGTGTGCTATTAGGGAGGTTTGTGAAATTTGGAGCGTCGATATAATGCCATAAGAGCTAGAATTTGAGCATATTGACATGTCGAAGTTAACTTCCGGTCTGACTGGAAGTAACATCAACTTTCTTATTTTAAATGGAAACCTCTTTTTTTTCTTCTCGCATTATTCAGCATTCAATTCCATTTTTAATGACATATCACAAGTTGGTATCTAACCAGAAACTAGATCAGAAAAAATTATTATTGAAATTCACCGAGTAGGCCGTGGAAGCAAAATGAAAGCCAAAAATTGAAAAGTTGGCTATGGAAACCATACGTCACTTGATAACAGTTGCTACTACTGTGATATTTTATTTTCATTCGTCGGCGTTTTAAAAAGCAGCCAAAAAAATATTGGAAAAATTGGGATAAAACAATACAACAATTTGAAGAATAATAATTGGATTTTTTGGTATTTCATTTCAAAAAATGACTTTCTATTATATCATCAGAAAGGAATGGTTATGCTGAATAGTACAGGCAAGAAAAAGTTGTATGTTCCTATTTAAGTTATGTACCTACAGAGTATTGTTTTTTTACCAATTTTTCCAATTTTTATTTTGGCGGCTTTTTATATCGCCGACGAATGAAAATAAAATGACGTATGGATTCCATAGCCAACTTTTCAATTTTTATCTTTCATTTTGCTTCCACGGCCTACTCGGTGAATTTCAATAATAATTTTTTTCTGATCTAGTTTCTGGTTAGATACTAACTTGTGATATGTCATAAGAAAGGGAATTGAATGCTGAATAAAGCGAAAAGAAAAAAAAATAGGGTTTCTATTCAAAATAAGAAAGTTGATGTAACTTCCGGTCAGACCGGAAGTTAACTTCGACATGTCAATATGCTCAAATTCTAGCTCTTATGTCATTATATCGACGCTCCAAATTTCACAAACCTACTTCATACAATAACTGAGATATTCCGTAGGCAATACTTCCGTAGCCACCCGGTATAGAAAATAACGTTTTAGGCGAAAGAAGAAGAAAGTAAAAAAGTATGTTCTCTCAGAATTTGGTAATAAATTGCAACTTTGCGAAAAAAATATTTTGTCTGACATCATTTCCGCCACTTTGAAAACGGTTGGAAAATGTTCAAATAAACGAAAAATCATACTTTACACACAGCTATTTAAATCCCCTCTGCAAAATTTGAATTTACAGTTTCCTTTTCCGGTTATAAGCCAAGGGTGAGAAGTTTGAATCACCCTGTACAGTTGACAATTTCGGAGAAAATATGTTTTCGATTTGTACTAGAACCTATACAGGATGTACCAGACGAGTTGGGTGCCAAAAGTTTCAGAGGCACAAAACCAAAAAATATGAAGTAAGTACCATCATTTCCACCTTCCCTGAATTATTGGCCTCAACTCTCTCGCAACACCCCGTATTGAAAATAAAATTATCTTTCAACAAAAGTTCCAATCGATTATGGTCCCTTACTACACAGACATTTCAGAAATGTCCAGAAGCACCAAAGTATGAATTGTTCAAAAAAGGTCACCTTCAGAAGTACATCTTTGCTTAAGATGTAAATAAGGCATTTCTTAAGGAGTTACATCATCAGTACGTTTTCTAGTTCTCAAAGTTTGTTGTCATTTGAAAATGTTGCACTTTTTCCATTCATCACTAGTTGCAAAGTACGTTCAGTTTCTCAATCTAATGAATAAATATACAGAGTTAAGTTTTGGAGACTGTGGTTAAATGATCAAATACAAAATAATAACCATAATTCATAATTATATTCACAGAGAAGCCTAAATGCATATTTTGAGCCTTCTCCAGATATTGTATTTCAGGTTTATTTTGTATTTTGAAAAATACGTTTATTGGTTAACAGATTTGCATTAATTCCATCGAATTTCAGAAATGTCATTGCAATTTCTTTCACGTCTTGTGTATTGAAGCGTGTCCAAAATTCTAAGGATTCCTCATACCGAAAATTGAACCAATTTTACTGTAAGTTTTATTATCATTATCCATTCCGGTTGTCTTACAAAATTTCGTCAGTTTCATTCAATTTTATCAAGAAATTCCAAGGGAATCCAAGGAAATCCAAGGAATTCCAAGGAAATCCGAGAAATTCCAAGCAAATCCAAGGAATTCCAAGGAAATCAAAGGAAATCAAAGGAGATCCAAGGAATTCCAAGAAATTCTAAGGAAATCCAAGGAAATCAAAGGAATTCCAGTTGATTGTAGACCAGAAATATACTGCACTTCACCCAAGGAATTTCAAGGAAATCCAAGGGATTCCAAGGAAATCCAAGGAAATCCAAGGAATTCCAAGGAAATCCAAGAAATTCCAAGAAATTCCAAGAAATTCCAAGAAATTCCAAGGAAATCCAAGGAATTCCAAGGAATTCCAGTTGTTTGTACACTAGAATTATACCGCACTCCACCCAAAGAATTACAAGGAAATCCAAGGAGATCCAAGGAATTCCAAGAAATTCTAAGGAAATCAAAGGAATTCAAAGGAATTCCAGTTGTTTGTCAAGGAAATCCAAGGAATTTCAAGGAAATCCAGAGAATGCCAAGGAATTAAACACCAGAATTCCACCGCGGTTTACCCCTCGGTTTTCTTCAACGTCAGCAGAAGTATGAAGATTTTTGTTTATTGTAAAGAGTTTTTTTTCTGCTCGTTGTTGAGTACAGCATTTTTTTGACTCATTTATATTTGAGTAAGTTACTTTTTTTCGACAAATTTTGTGAAAAATTCCATCAAAATTAATTGCAACTATTATTGATATCATCAAGTTCGTCATATCAGTTGTTAATAATACAATTTCACCCAATAATAGTCTTTTTTCATTCTTCAAATGAGTATTACAACATCGCCACTATTTTCATGGAATTTTCCACATATTTCACCAAGAAAACAAGTCATTCAAATATCAATATGCAGATACATTATCGATTTAGAAGAAAAGCCTAATTCCATAAAGCAAAAAATATACTTACCTATTTTTTATGCTTTCGTTGAAACTGAAAAAACAAACCATTTTTTAAATTTTCCAGTATAGCAAGGTTCAAGTTTTGGTTATATTACCTCATCATGGTATCAGGAATCCGTGATAGTATTTTATAAACACGTTTCAGACACCCATATATTCTTAATTAATGCAAAAAAAGTCTCTTGAAAAACAAAAAAATTGTTTGAAGGTTAAACTGTGGCCAATGCAAAATCATTTCAGGAAAGTTTTGAATCGCCGTTAATAAATTTTTTTTCTTACTCTGGAACAAATTTCTGCACAATATACGTGAATTTAATGATTCAAATTTCGATGATTAATGCAAACTGTTAGAAAAGAAAATACAGAAAACCATAGTTTTGCTTCCCCGACATTTCTTTGGAAAATCGAGATTCAGAAAAACATAAGCTGAAGCCTGATATCAGTAAGTTCTGCATGTGACCAGCACTCAAAATTTGCAGAAATAAAAATCAAATTCATTCAGGAGTTGTTGCATTATGCATACCAAACCAGGCTCGTTTGTTTTTCTTTGTAAAAATTATAAAAATCGGACGGAAACAATTTTAAACAGTCAGCCTTGTTTCTGTTTAGTACAGGTTAGACAACTTTGCATGTTTTCACTAGGCAATTTGCTAACTATAGGGTGCGACAAATATTCCAGTTGAGAAGTTACAGGGAGGTATAGTTTTACCGAGTTATCTTGAACCATATCTTTCATTCTTGGCTATCTTTCATTGGAAATTACTATAATCATTGCAAAAATTACACAATTCTTGTGTTAGATGAAGATTCCAAGATGGGTCCGAAAATGCTCTGTTTTGTTGAGATTTTTGAAAAAGTGAGTTTTTCATAGGGAGCTAAGAAACGCTTCAGCAGATTTCAATGGATATCAGTTAATTTTTTTACCGAAAAAATCTCACTGTTATTTTTTTGCAGTTATTTTTTCGGCTAGTTCAACAGATCTGAATTCTCAATTCTTTTTGAGGAGTGTGAAATCCATTCCGATTTTTGATAGGATGATCAAGAGTGTATATGGGTTTTTATGAGTGTCTGAGGGATTGAAATAATTTCTAAGGGTTTTTACAAGTGTTTATAGATATTCACGGGGTTTAATTGATTTTTATGACCAGACGTCCGAATATAAGGTAGGTAATTGGTAAGTGAATTGGATTTTGCTTCACTACGAACATTTTCAATGTTGGAAGTGAGTCTCGTAGGAATTTTCGAGCATCTTACAGTTAACGACCTCAGCTCCTAGAAGTTGCCCAGCCCAATACGAAATTCAGCAATCGAATCGAGTACACGCCTACTTTGTATCTACACCAATGCTTCACGAGCAAAGAAACAAAAGGTGTGACTTGTTAGGCGACACCGGTATCTATGGGTTTCCACGATTGTACATGGGTTCTTACGAGTATCTATTTCTTTTCACGAGTGTTCATGGGTATTCACGAGTTTTTATGCATTTTTACGAGTGTTTATGAGTTTTCAAGAGTGTCTATGGGTTTTTACGAGTTTTCATGGAGCAAACAAACAGCATTGACGACGAAATCCACCATATTCTTCTTCCTCGTCGTTTACCCGCAAGCGCATGAGGTGATCTCGCGCCAGTCGCGCCTGGAATAATTCGGCCCTAACCTTTTCGCGAAGCTGATGCGCAGCGAGTAGGGATCCACTGGGCAGGCCTGCGTGGGAGCGTGGCTTGTCAGGCGACACGGGTATCTATAGGTTTTCATGAGTGTCTATGGGTTCTTACGAGAGTCTATGTGTTATTACGAATGTCTATTGGTTTTCACGAGTGTTTATGGGTTAAACGAGTGTTTATGGGTTCTCATGAGTGCCTATAGGTTTTTACGAGTATTCATAGGTTTTACAAGTTTTTCAAGGTTTTTATCAGTGTATAAGGGATCTTATAAGTGTTTATGACTTTTTACGAGTACTTATGGGTTCTTACGGAGTGTCTATAGGTTATCTCGAGTGTTTATGAGTTATTGAGAGTTTCTATGGGGTTTTACGAGTATTTATGGGTTCTTATGGGTGTCTATCAGTTTTTACGAGTGTTCATAGATTTTTACCAGTTTCTCGAGGTTTTTATCAGTGTTTCATGGGATTTTATGAGTGTTCATGGGTTTTTACGAGTTTCTATGGATTTTGACTCTATAGATTTTTGACGAGTGCTTATGGATTTTCACGGACTCTTATTGGTTTTGATTGACTAGGATTTGCCTCACTATCACATTTTCAATGTTGATAGTGAATCTAGGAGGAATTTCTGCGCACCCTACAGTTAACGAGCTCATCTCCTAAAAGTTGCCCAGCGCAATACGAAATTCAGCTGTCGAATCGAGTGCACGCCTACTTTGTATCTACACCAATCCTTCTCGAGCAAAAATACAACATCGACGACGAATTCCACCATCTTCTTCTTCCTCGTCGATCACCTGCAAGGCGCCAGCAATATTTCTAGCCAGCAAGGGCACGAGGTGATCTCGCGCCTGGAATAATTCGGCCCCCACCCTTTCGCGAAGCTGATGCGCAGCGAGTTGGGATCCACTGGGCCGGCCTGCGTGTGGGCGTGGCTGGTCAGGCGACACGCCTCCAGACGGTCGAAAACGCACAGGCAGTGGTCGGGGGGCAGGCGGGTGGGCGTGGGGCAGTCGTGGAGGGTAGGGGAGTTGACGAATACAGGGTGGTCGGAGCGGTTGTACACCCAGATGCGGTCGCCTTCTCGGGATAGCGTAACACCTGGAAAGGCGAGAGGATTTTAAGTAACAAAGAGACCGGTGTGAAGCCAGCCAGATGGGAGATCTGGTGAAGCAGGTTGTGGAGTAATAGTTTGCATATTGAAAAAAAAATATCTGGCGATAGGTGTTTTTCATCAATGAGAACGCGTAGTAGTTGGAGAAATGGATTTATGTCACCTGTTCATTTAACATGATTTCCACCCCAAAATCGAAGAAAATTATCATTTCTATTCGTAAAAAATATCTCGTTATGGATTCATGCAGCGCCTGATTACGTCGCATACACTTATTTACTTTTTTCTATATGGTGAGAATAGGGAAAAATGGATGCGAAAAAATCAGAGGACAGCATGAATTCAATCGATGGATATTTTTACCCTCGTTTTACTCAAGGAAAATCACAGATTTTTGATTTTTTTTTCGATTTTTTGGTTGACAATGGGATAAAATTGATGTCACAAAATGAGGAGACAGCATGAATACAATCATTGTTATGCCTTAAGTATGTTTTGAAGACAAACATCCATAGCAAGATATTTTTATCCAAAGAAAATGACAAGACTTCCAATTTTATTTCGATTGTAGGGTTGACAATAGGAGACAGCACTAATACAATCGATGTTTTATGCCTATGTATTTTTTACAATAAAAGCAAGCAAGATATTTTTACCCAATGAAAATGGCAGGTAAAATGAACAGGTGACATAATAAATCTATTTCTTCTACTGTCGTTATTGATGAAAAGAAGGGGAACTTGACCATTTCCATGTACGTTAGGAAACTCAAAAACGTCAATGAAACAAATCAAACAAGACACAATAAAAATAATTATTGAATTGAAAATTCTCATCAAACTGTGATTTCTTGAAATATCAGTGTTCAATCGAAAGTGCTAGTTTTCTGAACTAACGACTCGGGCGGACTAAGGGTGACTTCATAAAAACTTTTAGCATTTAAGATTTAACATTTAAACATTTAAGACTAGAGTATTGTGGATTCAGTTATGAAAAAAATCAAGATTCTAGGGCAATTTCTGATCTAGGGCGTTTCTGATACAGAACCAGATTTTCAAAGTTTAGTATGTTAGGAACTGGTTGGAAATCAAAATTTCATGTTCTGATATCATTCTATTAATTTATATCCCTAAAATGATGCCCACATCCATTATATCTCCACATTATTCAGAAAGTAATCACTATTCGTTGCCTAACAGAAACTGGCTCACTCCTTTGATCTATTGCCAAATATGGAGGCAACAGAGTGAAGCTGACATTCTATAGTGTATTTTTGAAAAACGGTTCAGTATCCGTATTTTCTCTCAGAAGGAAAACAAATATTCATAGGGAATAACAGCCCAAGATATTTTGAACAATTTTTTAATGGCGGGAAAATCATAAGTCTTAAATGATTTTATAACATAACCAATAATATTTCCATGTTCCATTATTAGGTAATAAATCTCAAGTCATGAATTGTTTTATAAAGTGGCCCTCGAACTATGTTGAGCTAATGTTTCACTACATCATTATCAATCAAACGTCAATAGTAGTGAAAAATATCGAAACAATCATCAAATTCGAAAATCCTATAAATTTTCAAATTCTCCGTGTTCAATCGAAAGTCCAAAACTAACCTAAGCCGATTTTACACCAAGTTTTTTGAACTGACGACTCGCGCGGATTGAAATCATGTTGAGCTAATGTTTCGCTACATCATTATCAATCAAACGTCAATGATAGGAAACAATAACAAAACAATCATCAAATTCGAAAATCCTTTGTTCTCTTACACTCTCAGCCGAGTTCTCAGTATTATCAATCAAATGAATCAAATGTCAATAAAAAAAACATGCAACAAATTGAGGAGTTTTATCATTTTCACATTATCAGAAATCTCAGTGTTCATTTCGAAAATGCAAAACGCACCTAAGCCGATTTTACACCTAGTTTTTTGAACTGACTCGAAACGCTGGTTGTGGAACTATATGATGTATGTACATTGTTTTGAAATGGTCCAGTTGCTTATGTGTATTATTTTGATTTTTTGATAGTAATTTGAGCTTAGAAAACCGTTTATTTTTGTACTCTTATGATTCGAGAGAGATATTCGTTCAATAAAGTATGTTTCACTACTTGAAATACATGAGATTCGCAGAATAAAAATGCCCCAATTTGAGGTTAAGTTAGTTTGCATTTCATTCCTATTCAGTAGTAAAATAAATATTGCAAATTTAGTGGAGTGAAAATGATGTTCACAAAGTATAGGTATTCAAGATGTATGTATTGTAGTCAATTCATCTACTTACATTACATTACAAGAAAAAGTCCTTAAAGCTGGATGTATCTACGAATAATAATTGATCTACCTAGCAGGAAAAATTGAACATAGGTGCTATGTTTTTGAGTGAGGATTTCATTTTTTCAAATTTCAAATGTAACTTCTCACTTCTGGGAATAAAATGCAACTGAATTTAGAATCGACGTTGAGAGAAATTCTTTCAATTATACACTGATAGAAATTATCAATTTCTGTGAAATACAGTGACAACACTTTCATGAGTTACCGAGTGAATTACATGTGAAACAGAGCAATAATGATTTAAGAGACTCCACTGAAGACTACAAACTCGGAAAATATCACGATGACCACTAAACTTTCGATAAAATGCATGGAAACTTGAATGTAAACAAACATTCAATGTACTTTCCATTAGTTACTTGATTATCCGCAAGAAGGCGTATCACTTAGTTTATTGAATCGCCTAATAATGATTTTTACATTCTCAGCATTATAAATCAAATGATGAAATGAATCAAACGTCAATGATTGAGAAATTCTATTATTTTTTACATTCTCAGCAATCTCAGTGTTCAATCGAAAGTCCAAAACTCACCTAAGCCGATTTTACACCTAGTTTTTTGAACAGACGACTCGGGCGGACTAAAACTATGTTGAGCTAATGTTTCTAAATTGAGTCCGTCTGGATGGGGCACGTCTCCAAAAACGTTCACAGCCGGAGGCTCGACTGGAAAGAGCGGACCCACACGTTCCGACAACTCCCAGTAGGCCAACTTGCACCACTCCGACGAGTTCATACAGGAATCTGCAAGGAAAATTACGAATTGGAAAAAACATCAACATGGTCTACTCTCTGAAGCGAGCAGCATTCATTTTTTACTAGTGTGCGGAATTGAGCTCTTTTCTACCTTGAACGAGAGAGGGGAAAGTTCTCTCCTCTTCCATCTTTCTCTTCAGTGCTACCAACGTGGTCGCATTGAAATATAGAGAGATCCGATGAATCTTTCCTTGTCTAACGTCTACTCTGCACCACTGAACTATTTTCGAAGTCATAAATGACATTGACTGATAACTTTTCCAATTTTTTGAATGAAATTTCGAAATATATCATACTTCTTTGACATAGCATGATTGTTAATATCGTTAAATTTGACTCTCTGCTGAATTCAAAAATAGTTCAGTGGCACAAAGTAGATGTTAACCAATGACAGATTTATCAGACCTCTCTATATTTCAATGCGGCTACGTTGGTATCATTGAAGAGAAAGATGGAAGTAGAGATTGGAAAGACAGTGAATTCTCATTTTTCCGTGTATTTGTAGAATTAGGGTGATTAGAACTATAAGAACCATGTAAGGTGAGTCTTTTGAATTTGCGTGTATTTCGCAAACAGTAGTATAGTGGTGTGCTTTAGTAGGACTAGTAGAACGAATACCTACCTAGTTGAATTTGACGATATAATGTCAGATTGTTACGCCATCCTACTGTCATTGTTACTCTTATTACTCGATTCATCACAGTAATGTCTGTCATTAAATGTTGAGAATCGAGTTAGCAATGTATGAATGACTCCATAGTTGTAGATAAACATACTTACTTGATTTGTATTTTATTCGTTATTCTCGGGATGGATAACTTGTTTTTGAATAATCACAGCCAACAATAGTTTTTTGTTTCAAACAACGATATTGTTCACCTCCATTTTATTATCAAGCCAAACACAGTGGAGTATGGAGAGAAATAAATAATTGCTATTATCATTGTTGATATGCTAACTAATCTAACATTTTCCATGTCTTTTTCCTATACCTGGCATTAGCGCGGTGTTTGCTATTAGGGCTGACACCTGGTCCATACACAAATATGTCACTCTGTGGTTGTATTTATATTGAAACTACAATTCGAACATCCTTGAAAATTGAATAAACCTGCTGTTAATGCAGGTAGAATATTATCACCACACGGATTATTTTTTGCATTGCATACATATGGCACGGCAATGGTGGTTACTTCACATATTTATTTGAGTTAATTGTTTCGGTTGCAGAAAAAATAGCATGTTTCATTCGGATCAAAAGTGACTTTGTATGACTCACAAATTTTGCTTTCCGCCACGCAAATGCAATGTCAAACAAAGTGTCACTTTTGATCCTAATAAAACAATATACTATTGAGGTCTCGATTGAGGTCTTTTCTATCTTGAACGAGAGAGAGGAAAGTTAACCTATATTCTTTGGTCTTTCATTCTCAACAGTGACTACCATCATGAGTAACCATAAAATAGGACTTGACACTTGACCGTTGCAGATTGGCTCACACTTATGTGCGGGCTATCCGAATAGATTAGTACAGACCAATCAGAACCATGGAACTTCATTGTTGATATCTAGCGTCTAGAGACAGGGTACTACAATTAATCCTCGCAGTGGGGAGAATGCAACAGCGGAAGCAAGATAATGAATAATAGTATGATTCATTTCACAGCTGAAAAGTGAAATGACCGATGATATAAGTTAGATCCAACATTGTTTATCATATTTTCACAATCAAAATTATTGAAATAAGCCATAAGCTGTTCTTTGATTGAAATTTCTGTCAATAAGTTTTCGATGAAATCATTGAGTATTTCAAATCAAATTAGTGATTTTGCAATATAATAACCTTCATTATTTCCAAAGATATATTTCTGAACTCTAAAAGTGGCTTTGATATTTGAATAGTTGTAGATAAAGTATAGTATTCTACTCGCACATGACTATTACCCACTCAGATGATTAACTTTCATCTTCGTGGGTACTAGCCATCCTTATGCGCTTGTTGAATAATATACTATTATTTTACAGAGACGAGGAGAGAAAATCCCAAAAAAATCTGGAATAATGAATGCCAATAATTCATTATTAGTCCGCTCGCCAATTTTCCCAGGAACACCCTGTATGGTGTGCGGCCAGCAGGTGGGTATCGCATGATCGAATCGATCTGCATGCACCTCGCAATATTCATACGAGCGCCGGCAGATGGACGCCTGGCGCCAATCGGGTGACGTCATCATGTTTCGCTTTCTCTCTTTCTGCCGCCGCACCTGTCAAAAGACACGTGCAACTTTTTTCGGACTCGCACTCGCATCGATTGGAATTCGATTTACAGGGGTTGTACGATAAGGAAGCGTCGAGGGAAGCGTGTACGGAAATTCCACGGTTTTTTTCGTGTTCTTTGTTTCTGGCAACAGATACCTATTGCGACTATCACCTGGAGATTTCGATTCTTATGATGAATACAGACTTGGGATGCACCGGAATTCCGGCGGTATCACCAAATCCGACCGATCCGGATCGCTCCGACCTGATCGCTTTCCGGCCGGAGCTTTTGGGAAATGTTTAAGTTTGAAATTTTTAATATAATTTAAATTCAAATACATATAAAAATGAAGAAGATTATTTCAAGGTTTTTTTCAATTGGTGCCTACTTACCTATTATTAAGTCGTTAATTACAAATACTTTTTTTTTAACAATAGTATATTATGTAACGTCCTTGTAGTAACGAGTATTTTAAGCACAAGCGGAGCAGAACGGAGCGAGTGTTTAATAAACGAGTGTCTAGAAGAGTTTATATACGTGTTATATACTATGCTTTTTCTACGAACTCCGAAAATTACATTAACATACCTGTTATTCCTGCTAACCTACAAAATAATTCGAAAGGAATGGGAATTGAGAACATAATACATGCAACTGCATGCAACCAGCGAGACACGTATAAGTGCTGATATTGGTTGTAGATGTGTCCAGCCCATTGCTTACTAACCTTTGTTTCACGTTTATTGTCATGCTTAGCGCAGAATAAATAAATTGTTCTCAAAGATGGAGGCTTCATTTTTACACTTCTTCGAGATATGCAAGTACCAGAACATTCTCTTCGATTTCACTTTCGTCTACTTTTCGCATATATTTTTAATGAATAATTCTGATTCAAACGAATATTGTTTGAATAATTCTGATACAAAATTTGAAAATAACAGTTGACAGTTAATACAATTGACAGGCCAGACATGTCTCAAATTGCTGAAGCTGTGTTTAATGAACTGCGTTGCCATGGTAATGTGTTTAAGAAATCGTGTTGCCATGGTAACGTGTTTAATATTTTGAATAAATCCCAGATCGTCAATCCGTGATTAATCGATCATTCAGCGTGGGACATATCCGTACGCTAAATGCCATTTTAGTTATGTGAGTAGAAAAAATATATTTCCTTTCCAAAACTTACGAAACATGAATAGTAACTGGAAACATTATTAACAGCCAAATTCTAACAGCAAAAATTACAGCCAAATTCCCTGCCATGGATGGTCTTATAAGATAAGTATACAGTTTACATAAAAAATTTGAGTGAGAAACTCAAAACTTAGTATTCATAATTCATTTTATTAGGATTATTGGTGAATAAATAAGAGCTTTTCGGCATTTTCAGACTTTAGGCTACACCTATTATCAACAAATATATTACCAATTTCTGAATATAGTCACTCTGAATAGACACTAGTTGCTGGGTTCTTTTAATTTTTTTTAATTATTGGCATGAAATTGAAAGGTCTTAAAATCCATACTAAAGAATCCAGAACCGTATTTATTAAAACAAAGTTGATGATCGCTGCTCAGAGACGAAACGTCGGCTTGAAAATCTGATACCACCATCTTGTAGAACAGAAAAAGTAGCTGATGCGTTTTGTTACATTTCAAATACAGTCATAAAGTCCTCAAAGAATTAAATGGACACTCGAATTCTCGACAATTTTCAAAATGCGATAATTTTTTTGCAAATCGACCGATTTTCAATCGAAATATTTTCCATTTATGACATACCAAGTGATCAAGAATAGTGTTACATAATCGAAAAAGTTTAGGATTTTCCTTATTCCCCAGGAATTTTTCATCCTTCTGCAAATCATCTTTCTCATCAAATCTTCAAGTCAATATCTCGAAATGATTTTGGAATATCCGGAATTAGAAATTTTCAAAGTGTACTGCCATATAACATGGTCGAATTCATTCCCTGAGAAGATATTCACCTGGTTTTGAATAATCCAAAAGTGTCTCATAGAAACACGAAATTAGGCAGGAAGAAAATCTCACAGTCAACTCCACCAAAACTATACTTTATTTAACATTGGACATGTTTCGAAGCTTCAAAGCTTCATCATCAGCAGAAATTATTTGTTACAGGAAGTACTACAATAAGAAAGACAAAAAGCTACGTCAGACAAGTATTCAGATAATGAAAGTCAAACAATCCTCACCTGTTTTGGGGAAAATGTTTCACATGATGAAAAATCAAAAATGTAATTTACATATTGAAAAATTTTGATGATAAAAAAGTGAGGGGTCCGCAATTGAATGCGGATCCCTTTGTCAAATTATTAATATCTTCACGATTAAGTATGTAATTTGAGTTTTCTTTTACATTGCTAGGCACATGTCCAATGTTAAATAAAGTATAGTTTTGGTGGACTTGACTGTAAGATTTTCTTCCTGCCCTATTATCTTCACTCCACTGCAAGATGGATCGACTCAGATGGTTATTCATGAAATTGCTTCGAGATGTTCACTGGGGCAATCCATCTGAATGAAGGATACATAATATAAACATATGCTTCCACAAAATCTCATCGGACAATATCGATATTGCACATTCTGTATATGGAAGGTCAGAAATTCCAAAAACCATTTCGAGATATTGACTTCAAGATTTGAGAAAGATGATCTGCAGAAGAATGAAAAAACTCCGGCTGGATCTATTAGT